AGTCGAATGCACGGTGCATCCTTCAGCTATTGATCAACGCCGAGAGCTTTATCCTTTAAAGCTTTAATCGCTATCACCGTCGTAATGTGACAACACAAGAATACAGACGGGTAGTTTAAGGCCAAAAGTAGAAGGACTTTCTTTTGTTGAACCACACAACAATCGCGCAAGAAAATTCATTCACCAGACGCATTCGACACATCTCATAACGAATTAAGCAAGCATCACGAAGGAGCTTTAGCATTAGAAATTTTATCTAGTAGTTTCTTATTTACAAACAAATTAAATCATTTATATAATACGAATCGTACACAGAAAGCAGGGGGACAACGGTTACTACCACGCCTGAATAAAACTGAAGCACACGACCATACGAGAGCAGATCTCGTTGATTCGAAAGATAACAATCTCTACAGTTACAAAAATAAGTATCGATAAAAAATTTCTTGCACATTCTATCAAAAATTCTCGGAATCCAGCTACATAGCGACGAAATTTCATTAGATGTAGCAGTTGTCGAACAGCAACATGATCTCAGTGATCGAATACACTGCTTTCTGTTATGAAGTACGAATACTATAATAACACTAGGGCTTGTGAAGCTTCTGTTTATTGTGGAATAGTTTGATTTTTAAAATTTGACTGGAAGAAACCAAGCTCATCATAACCCAGTTAGATGCTTAGATAGGAATTGTACGATTTAGAAATGACAAATTTAGTTCACGGACTTTGACATCTACAGAGGCACCCTCGGATTTGATGGAGTTGCACAATCCAAGTACAATGCTACAACTACTGAATTTTGTGGATATGGTAAATAATTTAATTTCAAGATTATTTGAAAAACTTGGACAAAAAACCAATATTTTTTCAGGACCACACTTCTCGCCGACGGAGAAGACCTCCCTCAATCGCTTGGACTTCGCGGCGATGACGACACTCCGCTGCTTGATGTTTCGTTCTGGAAATATATTAATGAAATCCTTAAAAATATCAGCAAAAAGAATTTAAAGAAAAACGTAAGATGGAAAGGATCAAAGATGAGCGAGAACTGACGGTTGGATAACGAGCCGTTCTCGATTGGTGAACACCCTGTGGGGACTTATGGGCACAACTTATCCCTTTCATATTTCAGGTAATAGGATGAAGCTCTCCGCTGTGATCAATCCCTAATGGAAGCACCATGCATCCGTTTAGAATAAGCATCGCTAGCGGTTACTGAATGCATGTCTGGCCTATACAATGACTCACGGTGGCCTATCAATCTATTCAGGCAGTGCTGTTATCTTCAAAGACAAGCCTGGTAAGAATTCGTGCACCTCGAGAGAATGGAATGTTTGATAAGCCTGCGGTTTTGTGTGGAACCAGCAACGCAGGGTGTATTGCTGGGCACCTCTAACCATTGCACTGCATGCACCTCTAATATTTTAAAAAAAGGTGGAAAAAACAATTAAGCAGCAACAATTTTTGGCACTCACCGAACCATCCTCTAACCGATCGATGGTTTTCATACGAAGTACAACGAAACGAATCGGAGCACCATTCGCATCACTGATCAATTTCGTCAACATCAACGCTGATTTGAACTGTTCACCAGGACAGTCATTGATCTCAAGAAGACTGAAAAATAATTCACTCAGTTTTCAGCAAGATCCGGATTCTATTGATTTTCACGGATCGATAAAACTATTTACTCCTTTGCGTGCAAGTTTTAGCCGTAATAACGCAAAACTCCTTTTATCAGTTGGCTATTGGGTTCAGGTATATCAGTCGTATACTTAGCTACAAATCAACTGTAAAAACGCACATATCTCATGAAAACCTAGTGAACTTTACATGAACAAACAGGTCCTATTATCGGGTGTATTCCGTGATTTGAATATCCAATTAGGGCGAATGGTGGCGCTGGCGGTACCATGGCGCCACCATGAAGTCGTTAAACTGCGATGAGTTTTGAAAATCCTTTAGAACATACCAGTCATTTTCTCTCAGCGGAAGATTCACTCCGTTCACTTTCGTTATCTGAAGACAACCGAGTTGCCCGTGGGTGACGACAATGTCACGATTGGTTAACGGTGTTTCCACGGCTAATACCTACAATCATAAACATATATATCGATCGACGCCAACCAATGCCGCCTGTTTTTTCTATTCCCTGTAAGCTTTGTCCGCTTTATTATTTTTTCTTCATTTCAACTACCGCAAGATTTTATATATACACAACAAAAGCGCAGAATTTAAAAGAAAAAGGTAGTGTTTTTTTTTTAAGAACGCGCAGTTTTTTCCCCGAAGGACAATGTTCCCATTCCATTGGGACACATGTAAAGAACCCATGACACTATCACTTTCATCATAGAGCTCCGGGGATATTTGTAGTTTATTCGGGCACACATAAACGCGGACTTTCAAGGAGATGATGGCTCATTAAACCTCCGAAAACTAAATCGTTGTATTGAAATGGCCATAAGAACAGAGCAGGTAACAAGAAACACAGTGACAATCTGGAAATGATCGCGAGTCGAAGTTGTCCCGACAAAAAGGAAGGTAAAAACGCAAAGATTTCCTAGGTTTCCTCTACATAGCAACATAAGCAGCTAGCGCATAGAATAATTCTATAAAAGAATTGTATTAGAGCTAACACTTCATTGGGAAACGCCCCACAAGTTTTTTTAAATAGCCATTTTACCACTGTAATACCAAGTCTTTTTCATCAGTGAAGCGCCTAGACTCCTTAACACCCATCTGTTCCAATACTTCGTAAGAAATTAGTAACACGCTTGTAGAGCGAAACGCTGCCTGGTAACTCAAAAACTCGTCTACCTTGGTTTACAAAGCTCAGTAATATCTGTCTAATAATAATTTTTTTTCAAAACACAAATATTTTTACAACTAAATCGGACGAACCTGATCATAGGAGCTTTGTCTGACTATGTCGAACAATGCTCGATGTCCTGTCTTCTTTTCAATCTCTTTCACGTCTTCTGGACCTCGTTCGCGAATTGTCGCTAACTCGCTGAGAATTTTCTCACGAATCGACGCACTCGTCACACCGAGTTGAGCTGTAAATTAATAAAAATGATTCAGAGATTAGGAAAACTCGTCCGCACTAAAATATCACGTATGAAGTTTTCATTTCTACCGTTGAGGGCGGTTTTATTGGAAAAATATCGCCACAATAAAGATTTCTAGTAAAAATCCCACGTAGCTATGAAAATAGGGTGGTTAGTGGCCCCTAAGTAACTGCCATTTTAAGCAAATCGTTCGAAATTTGTTAGAAACTTGAATAAATAAAATTTGTTAACGACCAATAGATGGGTTTGAAAGCGCAGTGCATTCGAGCGCCCCAATACTCGCATCGATCCGAGATCGAGGTTCATCAAGCGGTCTTGTTGACAAATGCTATCGGATTCGATGAGACACGTAGGTGACCAAGAGGTGAAACACGCAAAGCTGGCAACACATTTAGTCTGACGACATTCGTCATTGGTAATAATAACGTCTCCTGTTTTCTTCTCATTTTCTTTCTTTCGCTTTTCTTTAAGGAAGTATAGTTGATCGTTGACAATTTTCTAAGCTCTCCAGCGGACAACATCAAAAATTATGTGGGAATACTAAATATTATTCTATGTTCATGTAGCTCAAAGCACCATTGCAAGAGATTACGCAAGGACTCTATGAAAACTTGTTCCTATTCTGTTAGGGATAATACTGAGAACCATTGCATCAAACTCACAGAGACAATGATGATCCCATGACAGGAGGTCCGTCCCTCTGAGATCGTAGCCAATGAGTAACGAAGCCACGTCGTCCAGATTACATGCTTGAAGCCAAAGCAGCACATCGTCAAGATTCCAATCCTGTAACAACAACGGGTTGACCTACCTTATCCTTTTCACTAATTTCCATTATTACAAAATATTTCTCTCGTATATTGGCATAAAGTGTCTTCGAAGTTTCCACGCTAGCTGGACAATCAGCTTAATTGCTATTCAGCACTGTTTATCATCGATCTACCCCAGATGTATGGGATATTCCGAGCGAGTAAGAGCAAAACTTGATGTTTAAAAATACCCAAAAACTTTTTTCCATTAAAAATGATGAAGGAAGAAATACGAAAAAGGATATCTCCTAATACCTAATATTCGCCTTACTTGAATACTTGAATGACCCGTCCTCACTGGTTGTGCGGCCCCCAGCATAATCTCAATTTTTTGGAGATTTGCTGGTTAAACCATTATGGTTCCCTGGAGCGCCGAGGTCAACCTGGCCGAAGGCTGCCCCAGGTGTTCACCACTACGGGCAGCTTCAGCGCTTGTGGATCAGAAGGAGATTTACCACCATGCGACTTTGATACCAGGACGGTGGTGGATCCTGGTATTGGTTTACTCTTAGCTTTTCGAGGTTTCATTATGGAAACGCCGGACGCCTTCTCAGCTTGGGAGACCCTGCCAGGGGATAAATCCCCTGCTGTACATCGCAGTCCGACACCCGGGAACTCCTCCCAGCCACGATAATGCGGTAAACCGTTGGGAGGGACATTCACATTAGGGATAAAAATTTCAGACACCTTTGTAGAGAGTTTAGTTCTTCTAGGTTAACATACATCAGCATTCCTCATAATAATAAACAAAATCCATGCTTCAAAACGAAAGTGAAAAATAAAATGGGTAGAGAAAAGCATTAAAGATAAATGGGATCCAATCGTTGCCCATGAGGAGACACTAATCGAAGAAGAACACCTTTGACCAAGCTTTCATGCTTTTAAGAGCGTTACTGCTACTCCAAAAATTCCATTTATGCTGCCCTTTATTAGCGATGAAGTAAGTATAGCTATAAAACGATACTTAAGAAAGGTAGGTCTAAAGGAATCGGTTGCGATAGTAGAAATACCACCCTACCAGATAGTAGAAATATACCAGATAGTAGAAATATACTTTTCGTCGTCAACTAGTTCGTAACCGTCTGTATGACCGTCTATTTGAAACAGAAAATTGCGCAATTTACCCTTTTCGCAAGGATGGTGATTGCATGAGTTCAGGTACGATATACCTGACCTCTTCTGGTGCTTGCGGAGATGAATATATTGGCGAAACGGACAGATCTTTATGTATTCGCATAAAAGAACACCTAGATGGCAAACGAAAACTAAGACGAAGCACCCCACTAGGCACGCATAGGATACAAAAGCATAGCGGAGACGATTTCGACATGAAAGTCACTATCCTAGCACAGGATGACAAAACACCAGCGCGCAAATTTCTTGAGGCTTTTTGGATAAATGCCAAAAATCCTACAATGAGTAGCAGAGAGGAATGCCTCGACATCATACGTGTTCTCGCCCCGTACCTTCGTATCTATCGTTGATGCAAGGTGGTGCAGTCGTCAACCATATGCGACTCTGAGCGGCTGCTCTTCCTCGGTGGAAGACGGGTGAAAAAGCGGTGGGTTTTTCGAGAAGCCGTAGATCTTGTAATTACCATTTAGATTCTCATCTTTCTGTATGTGTTATTGAAGCTCCCTACTTCCCGGAAAGAACAATAGCGCGTTCGTTCCACACCGCATACACCTGCGGTCCGGAGTTTTGCAAATATATCAGCATTATATACGTGTTATTGAAGCGTTTGACATAGTAAATTGCACATCGCTATAGCCTTCCAGGCTCTGAAGAAAGCGATTCTACCGAAACGTCAGCTACGATTGTGTTGCATGTGTTATTGTATGGAAGTAAACGCATGCTGTTTAACAACCTCGCGAGAGCTGAGAGGGAAAACGACGCATTGATAATCCAATGCCAAAGTTAATAGAAAGTCGACCTGGGAAACTATTACTGCTAGTATTTACAGTCACTACAGCACATCCTCACTCGATTTACGATCACTTCCGTAGACCGTTGATATTGCATTCGACAGAAGCTGAGAATGTTTAGACGACAGTTGCAATACGAAAACGTAAAAGCTCTATGTATATTCCACAAATACGACACTGCTGAATTGCGTCTTGAACTGCAAGCCACTGAATCGGCGGTGATGAACAGATCAGGTCCGGATTGGTCGGCTGTACTGCTAACAATCTATACTAGTCAGCGTTAAACAAAGCTCACCGAGTCTGCTGTCAGGATCGTTACCTAAACGACGACCATCAAATTCCGAATTAGACTTAGGCTCAGTTCGGTAGAAATTGTATTCAACGGAAGAAAACGATGTTTACACTACCAATTCAATAAGAAGATGTAAGTCTGCTTGCATGTTGAGCAAAGAGAAAGCTCTATTCGCACATCGGACCACTCTTCGAGTCGTAAGCCTTCGAACCGTCCCTAATGAACAGATCGCATTTGAAGTGCTTGGTTGTACTGCTACCAACCGACAACAAATACCACTAATTCTTCAAATTTTTCAGAAAAACTGAGACCTTTAGAATGAGTAAATGGGAAACCATTCCTTTACAAATTGAAGCAATTGAAGAAAGAGAGAGCGAGAAATGTGTATTGCAAATGATATTGTTGGATACTCGACTGCTTAAAACACATAACGTGGTATCTTTTCTCATTAGAGCGATCAGAATGCTCATGAACGAACTGTTTTGAAGCCAGTGAAAGAACTGGATTGAAAAGAAGAATATCATATCAATTTATCCTAGCTGTCTCAAGGACCTCTCAGTGAGAACAAAAGCTAGATTGATTGATCTGAAACGTCCGAAAAAGTACAGTTTTCATTCCAGATCGAAAAGGATTCTAAACTTCAATGAAAACACTAATCTTCCCCTTAACTAGTTCTACGACTGTCGAATTTTTTTTGTCATAGAATGTTCCATACCTTAAAATTCAGTTGAGAAAAAATACGAAAAAACAACGATAAGAGGTCAGAATTGAAGAAACCTTCATGATTCCGAAGAGTTCGAACACAAGTTCACATTGAAAAATTCATTCCGGCAATTTTCTATTCCTAAGCTTTTTTCAATATTTCCTCCAAAATGTAGCTCTGCCTCAGCTATGAAGTTTTCCAGAAAATATTAAAAGAAACATTTAGTGGAAAAATGTTAAAAGCAAGTGAAATACAGAAAATCTTAAATAACAGAAAAAACAGTGGCACAATTCCTAGGTAAAAAAAACAAAAACAACAGAAAAAAAATCAACTGCTCAGTTCCCGACCTCAACCGGTTTCCTTCTCCAACACGCCTCCTTCATCTTCTCCTTAGCTCGTCGGTTACGCCGTCGTTGACCTCGGTTGTCCGACGGCGTCGGCAAAGCGGTCGCTGTTTCAAGATCTGGACAGCTTTTTCGTAACTGGTTACTAAAAAACGAATGTTTAAGTGAAATAATAAAGCTAAAATACCGGTGAATTTACGAAGAGTTAACGTTGGTTTTCTTCTTTTTCAGTGAAAACTACAATGAGGCAACATAGTTGCCATAACGTTAACTAGAGTTCACTTTTTGCTTTGTATGGAGTGCAATTTTAAAAAAAACTGGCTGCGAGAAAGGGAAAATGACGGCCCCAGTTGTGCAGTGGGTAACACGTTTGGTCCCCAGAAAGGGTGATCGTGGGTTGGAATCTGGTCTGGGTACTGAGTTTTCAAATAACTCAGCATCAGCAATTCATATCAAAAAGTGACTGGCAAGGTTAGATAAAACTGTATAAAAGCAGAAATGAGAGAAAGTGGTAAGAGGATAACATTGGGGAAGAAAGCTTTCACTTCTGAACGAGTACGTTCGACAATGATGAGCAGTTCGTCCGTGTTCAGTGGGCAACTTCACCACACATAGATAACTCCGCATAGGAAAAAAAGCTTAAAAGATGGTAATTTTAAAAAACGAAAAATAATAAAATATATCCCTTCACCTGGACGTGTAAGTGCACCGATTATTGTTTGTCTCTATATCTTGTTCTTTTTTCGGCCGTAGTACTGTAACTCGGTTATCGACCATAACACTGGCTGAAATAAATTTTCACTTCTTTGTTAATCTTGCAAAACTAATAGGATTCTAAACAAAAAAATGATGAATTAGAAAAATGAGGACTGAAAATAATACTATTAAATTTGTTCTCTGACTAGGAAACACACACTGGAACCACTGTGAAAAATGACGGAAATCATATTTTTCTGTCAATCAATATCCATTAGGTCAGAATTTCACCAGAATTTCATGTTCATTTCTTTTTCTTAATAAACTCTTCGGATGGCTGATTTCTTTGAATATCATATTATAGTAAATCTATCCGCCCAACGGTTCACCGCCTCATCGTGGCTCGAAGGTGAACCAGGATATCGGGCTGCGATATGCGAGGGAGATTCAACCCGAAGTGCCTCTAAAGCTGAGAAAGAATCCGGCGTTTCCACCAGGACGCTTAGCGAAGTATGAATCAAAACCAGGATCCACCACCGTTCTGCTATCAAATTAGTCGCATGGTGACAAATATTCTTTTGATCCACAAGGGTGGCCACTGCCTGTGGTATGACTAAATTAGCAAAACTCTAAAAAATGCAGTTTATGCTGGGGTCCGCACAACCAATAAAGACGGGTCATCAAAGTAAGCACGAAATTAAGTAAATCTGTAAAAGACTGCGAAATAAAATGAAGTGCTATCGCTCGTCCGCAAAATCGACAGTGGCTCGATACGCTCGCCTTCCGGTTGAGCGTTTCAGATTTTCGTAGTTATTTCTAGGGTTAAGAATGCAGTTACTGATTTGCCTGCGAAGAATGCGGTAGCACAATGAAGTGCTCTTCGACCTAATACTGTAATTCACTGTGAAGACCACTTATCCCTTTCCTGTCGCTATTTGTTAACAAATAATGAAATTCAGTTAGACTCCTCACCGATAGTAAAACGTTTAACAAAACATCAGCAAAAAAAACAACTATCGAACAAATGAAAACGAACTCGTAAAGATGTCTGTACTTTCAGGTATCGTGTGCGCTGTGTTTTCCGGGACTTTGTCAACTGTCTTCTGAACCATCACCGGAACTCGAACATCAGATTGACGTTGTACTGCTGTTTCGCTCTTACTACGTCCGCTGCGTGACTCCGACAAGTTCATGCTCACTGGGCGATCATCCCTGGGATAGAAAAGTAAAGAGTAAAGCGCTCGGATCAATACCTCAGAAATTCGCCATGCATTTGCCACCATTCCTAGCATCGTAAAAATGATGGGACGCACATTTGGCTTATACATTTCATTGGCGTAGGACGACCGATCTATTAAGCAAGTGTTTTTATCCGCGCAAACAAAACTGCTACAAAATTTTCGAAACCTGAATAAGAGAAGGCTTGGTTTGGCATAGTTTGAAATCGAAGTGAACGTGTGTGTTATAAGGAATCCTATCTAACAATTTCTGCATAGCTTCCCATAAACAATAAAAAAAGCCGAAAGGCTGGATGTTAAAGCACGTGATTCTGTCATATTTTGGCGACGTTCTTGTAAGCCATCTAGGACTCGGATGGGTTTAAAATTACTCTGTCTTATCGATTTTCTTTTTTAATGTGATAGTTTATTGCCTCATCCTCATCTCTTTACCGTAGTACAGCTGTGACGAATTATCTCTGGATGGTCGAAATGTTTCACACTGGTTTCAGCTCTTGAAAGCGGGTTATTCGTGCCAAAAACGTTCAACGCTTTAACTCGGAAGTTCAGCTAGGAATAAACTAATGTCCGAAATTGCTACAGTTCTGGTACATAGCTACTCTCTGGGCGACATCTCTTAGTCACTTCCAAAAAGGCCAGAGACCACCTACAAAAACAATGCGGATATGTGTTGGAACTAATGGTTTAAGGGCTCGAATAAAAGAAAGAACCTGTTCATTTAGCGAAATATCAGTTTAATTTCGATTTTTTCTTTTCACACTTCTACCTTCCGTCAACGATTTGCTGCACAATGATGGATTCCTCAGCAATAGAAATGCAAGGAGTGTAGAGCTTGGTGCTCATGTACTAAGCAATCTCCTATAAACTGAACGAGTTTAACACTTCCATTTCAAAAGTCCAGCTCAGAGTAAACCTATGCCACAGATGAGCCCTGTGAGAAATCGACGATTATCTTTTAACCGAAGATAACAACATAGAGGGTTTCATTGCCAACATATTTATTCTGCAGTAATTATTTACTGTCGGTCAACGAATGGGCGCGTGTGGCGCAGAGGTTGCACGTGCCACTGCGACACAAACACGTGGAATCGACCCCGCGCCCATGGCGCACCAAGTCTTCCATTCCTCCGGTGTCGGTAAATTGGTACCGGACTTGTCTGGGAAGATAGCAGCACGGGCTCGATACATCGGTTGGCCACAGCGAGTCATTGTAGAGGCCAGTTATGCATTCGATCACCTCCAATGATACTTAATGAAGTCGAATGCATGGCGCATCCCTCAGGGATTGATCAACGCCGAGAGCTTTTATTTATGAGCTTTAGGTCAACAAAACAGCCGATTTTTGGCTGTTATTTTTAAAATAGTCATGCGAATCAATTTGCGCTTTCATTAGTGGTAGTGACAAATATGTGACCAAATCACAAGGCACGAAGCTTTACTTACTATTTTCTCCCATGGAATTCCCTACAACCCATTTTTTCCCTAAAGCTCCTTTTCGTGCAAACCTTGCGCAAGCTGACTTCTTAACGGTTAGTACGAGCGAGGTGAATTATTTGATGACAGAAATGATAACTATCAGTAATTCATCGGCATTGCAATGGCTATAAATCGGATGGTAATGGGAAATGTGAAAAATCTTATCATTAGAATTAATAAGCACCTTTTCATTCCCTCAGGCGACATTACACCTGGTCGCATTTGCTTTCGATCACGAAACGTCCAATTTCCGCTGAAGAACGAGGGTTTTTTGGAGCTAAACACGACTCGGTTGACCTCGAATGACACGTGGTACTCTTTACGATGGCATTTTTATGGTGAACACCATTGAAGACCATCGTTGTTGTGTTGGCGACGAACCTTTTCGAAAACGCCGTCGACGTCGACGACGGCGGCGGTTGTGATGCTGGCGCCGGCGTCAATGTCGGTGTTTCCATCATCGAATGGCTGTAGCGAGTGAAACGACGTAATGCCGGCTGCTCGTCGTAACCATAGATGCCAGCCACCTGAAATAAGCTTTCATATGAACAGAAGAACTGTATAGAATTCGCAGGGCGAGAACAGTGTGAAAAATGGAAAAACTCCTAATCCTCAGTTTTTTGTCCAAAAATGCATATACGGTGCTTCATCATTGATAGGCTTCTTTCATAAGAATATGAAAGTATAATGGCGTACTGAACTATAATACCATAATACAACTGCAATGATGCTGAGATCTTTGCATAACTTGGACCCTAGGACAAATCTAACCGAGATTACTATTTTCAGGGGTTCACGTGTTACGCAGGGCACCAATGAGGCCTTATTCTTCCTCTCTCCCAGTCTGTGTTCTTACTCTAATGGTCCCATCGACAATTACCACTCAACGGGAATGATCTGGGCAGCACAAATCGGCATTAAACAAAGTTAAGCTGAGGTTGCAGTCGAAATCACAATGTGTAACTCTTTCCACTGCCCATTAATTTTCACGGCAGGGATGATATAAAATACAACCACTATGATGCTGAAACAATTGCGAAACTTTGATCCGTGTCCAGATTCGAACCTGCTACCACCCTTTCCGGGGCTCACGTGTTAGCCACTGAACTACTGAGGCCATCTTTTGCCTTCCCTCAGCCAGTATAATGGCATATCCCAAAATGTATTGCAGACTTCCGTGGATAAATTAAAGGAAAACTAATAAAAGGAGAAAAAGGGCGTGAAACAGGTAGTATGGACCAGTGGGCATCAAAATTGGCCAGAAAGGAAATAACGTTTGGAGGAAACTGTGCAGAAAATGATGAACTACCGATCGATTAAGGCAAAATACTGAGATCATTTATTTGTATGTATAAATTGAAATCCACGATATTGTATTGAACTCAGATATAAGACAAATGCAAAAACGTTGAGAGTACGGTAACTGCAGTATTGCTACGACTGTATGGAAAGTGAGCCATCGCGGTTGACGGAAGGTCAATCAGTTGTGCCGTCAGGTCAATACATGGACACACAGCTGATCCGACGCTGGTGTACTTATCCTTCCGCTTACAAACACAGGCATGCATACATATGTATATATATATATATATATATATATACCTATATATACGTCTATGGGGATAGTTACACACATTCATACACATAGGAATGCATAAATACGTGCATATATTTACGCAAACATCCAGATTCGATACACATATACACCATCCACTCGTATATACAATCAAATGCCGAAGTACACAAATACATAGAAATATACGCACATGTACACACGCACACAGAGATTTCGACACACACACATACATACATACATACATACATACATACATACATACGTACATACATACATACATACATACATACATACATACATACATACATACATACATGCATATAAACACACACGGGCGTCACACACACATGCATACATACATACACACATACATACACAACACACAAAACATACAAACAGCTTGCTCGTGAGAAATGGGAAAAGCCAGCAGAAAACTCGTCCATGAACATGGCGCAGAACAGCTTTGCGTCGTCGTGTTTCACAAACAACTGTGTTCATTGGACCGGATTCATGACAGTCTATCCTGTTTACAATAGCATAATGAAAAATCGTTGTTGCTTTAATTATATGGTCTTATAAACTGATCTTGTTGAGCCGATGCGAGATTGGTATAAGTTTTCGTCATTTCTTTGTTTTTTTTCTACTGTTCCTCGTTCCTCCCCATGGTTTATCGCCTCATCGTAGCTGGGAGGTGTTCCGGGATGTCGGACTGCGATGTAAAGCGGGAGGATTCGTCCCCCCCCCGGCAGGGTCTCCCAAGCTGAGAAGGAATCTGGCGTTTCCACTTGGAAGCCTAGCTAAGAGTAAACCAATACCAGGATCCACCACCGTCCTGGCATCAAAGTCGCATGGTGGCAAATCTCCCTCTGATACAGAAGGGCGGCGACTGCTTGTGGTGGTGAAGGCCTGGAGCAGACTTTGGCCATGTTGACCTCGGGATTTCCTATGTCCCCTGTCTATCTGACAGGGTGTGGTTTGACCCCGCCCCTAGCTCACCAAGCCCACTCATTTCCTGGTTCGGAAGGTTCCGGATTTGTTCAGGAACAGTTCAATACCAGCAATTAAGGTGCGAAAGCCTTAGTCCGTCTATCTCAGCACTTCGGGGAGAATCGGCTAGACCAGCACTTAAAGACATTAACGATGAAAGGAAAATCTTCAAGTTTCGGCCGGGCCCACATGCAAAAGTCCGCACAGTCGGTTTGAAAGACGAATGTAAAATAGAAATGAATGAAAAATACTATTTGACACGATGTACGTTGTTTGACTGATAATTATAAGAAATTTAAACCGAAAGAAGTTGATGTCGATTTGCATCTAACTGAGAACAGTACTGAAACGTTTTTATCATCACGGTCATTTCCTTGCTACCGTGTGAACAGGAAATCATTTCAAGAACAGTCATGGATAGGTGAAAGACAAAACATCTGGAAAAAGATAACGATCCTTTCGATAAAGCTCAACGTCCTCGGAAAACACAATTTCATTTTAGCACGAGTTATAGTGGGTCGGCCAATGTAGCAGAATATAAGTTGATAATGGAAAGTAAATCTTTGAGTCAGTTCTCGGCACCGAGTAATCACTAGTTCAAGCTAGAATGCTCGACTTCGCAGTCGCCACGCGAGACTTCTTAGACGCAATTTAGGTAATTGAACGTCCTGGAATATAGATTTCAAATCCATTGAGATTCCCAACCATTTTCTTGAACATTTGCGGACTCAAATGGATATGTAAATACCATATAGCATTGGACTAAATCGTTTCGATACAAGATTAATAGGTCATCGGGATTTTCCTTGATGTATGTGAGCGGTCCATTATTCAGGCTGTCCTCGATTTCTGTTTGGGAGCGTTGCTAACTGTGATGTTGTTGTAATTGCCCTTTACAATACCTTATAGAGGGATTTTTCTCAGACTTTATGCCGCCACTCATAAAATTTCCCATGTCGCGGAACATAAGGTGTTATTACTCTCCACGTCATTTCTCTCATTGCCAGTGTCTTTGCAAACAGGACATCACTGGTGATCGGAACAATAATGATTCCTCAAATCTGTCCGCCAGAGTAGAATTCGGCGCATTATCAGAGGTGAAGTGAATCGGTACGTCCAGCAAGAATCGTCGAAATGATAGAAGGAATTCATCGACTGGCGCATTTTAAACCAATTCCAGGTGTAGCAGCATTGGGGCAGTTCAGGTAAGAATTATTCTACAGCCCTTTAGCATATATTATATATTTAGCACTTTTCATTGATAACGGAGCAAAAGTGTCCACTGCTTTTTACTGCCCATCATCACCATCGCTTAGAGAAAAAAGGAATGGGTCGATTAAGAGAAGGACATCGGTTACTTATTGTAATAGTTTCCAGGATCGACTTTCTATTAGCCTTGGCATTAGCTTATAAATTCGTCGTTTTCTTTCTCAGCAATAGCGAGCTTGTTAAACAGCACACGTTTACTTCCATACAGTAACACACATACAACACAACCGCAGCTGACGTTTCAGCAGTATCGCCGTCTTCAGAGACGTTTTTCACGTTTTTCACTGAGGATGAGAAAAACAGCTGATTATAGTCGCATATGGTTGATGACTCCGTTAAAGGTTGAAAGTTATTCAATGTTTCAACTCGTGAGTCGTCAACCATGTGCGACTCTGAGAGGCTGTTCTTCCTCGGTGCTAGACAGGTGAAAAACGGTGGGTTTTTCGACAAGCCGGTGCTCGCGTAATTACTGTTCATAGTTCCATCTTTCTGTTTGCGTTGTTGAAGCGTTCGACCTGGTAAATTACATATTAGTGTACCATTCCCAGCTCTGGAGAAGGAAATTCTGCCGAAACGTCAGCTACGGTTGTGTTGCATGTGTGTTTTTGTATGGAAGTAAACGTATGCTGTTTAACAACCTCGCGAGAGCTGAGAGAGAAAACGACTAATTGGTTACTTAGTTTGAAAATAGTTCGGAGTTTTCCAAACACTTCACCATCATCGTGGTTATGTTCTACATTATACTCCACAACGGAAAAAGAATAGGCAATGGATGAAAAGTGATTACATTGTAATTTATACTGTCAGCCACAAAAGTTGCCAGTCTCAAGCTATGCTGTGAGTTGTATATCTGTGATCTCCTTCGAGATGATTCTGGTCTCAAATCATCAAAAAAACATTTAAATATTCCATTTGTAATCGTTATATAAAAGTAGATTAGTGATAGAATTAATGGAAATCTCTGAAAAAGATGACTTCATCGAAATCGATTAATGCTTTAAAAGAATTTCTATCTTTTAATGACCGCCTAAATAACTTAACAAGCATCGAACCAGAAACCACTTCTTTTCACAAGCATTTCTTCCGGTGAGGAATTCTCGCCGTCGTAAACCTCGTCCCCCCATAAATGCACTAGCTACCTCACTTCGAAGAAATCAAAAGGCTCACCCGACCGGAGTGAAGCCTGAAAGACGATGTCGTTCAACTTCTTATTTATCGCCTATTATTTCTTTTTCATGACAAGGCATTATGCTAAACACAACCATGACGATAGTAAGATATTTATAAAACTCGGAACGCCAGGTGAGCTTCGATCCCGTGATTATCCTTTCCGGAGGGTCGCATGTTACCCACTGTACCAATAACTCCCTTCCTCCAAAACCCTAGTCTGGGTTCCGAGTTTTGTAAAAGCTACAATTGCGTTAATAACTACCCATTTAGGTAAATGATTGGCAACCTTTTTTACTTTAATATTTCTAAGAGGCTCTGTTGAAAAAAATACTAGCTAGTTCGTACTAAGTGTTATTATTTTTCTCGAATGTCCCTCAAGTCATAAAAATAGAGTCGCTTAACTCTCGAGTTACGTGGCGCGAGTGAAAATTGGGTGCGGAACGAAACAACAATGCGCAGAGACGTTAGCAGACCCAATGAATGAGTTACCTGCCTCTACACCATAGAATTGGCTTACATCATCCG